AATTAAAATGCATTCATTTATTTTTCAAGTGAACGCATTTTGAGAACGGAATTCTTCATATAAGCGGAAATGTCATTAGCATATTAAATTGAACTGTGTTGAAATTTATGTTTTTTGCAAACCAATGTTTAATTTTTTGGTTGAAAAGATTTGTGATACTAATTACTATGGCATGTAATTAATTACTCATCGTGTATTGCAAATAACGTGAAGTGAGAATGCGATGATGTTGATGATGATGATGGTGATGGTGATGGTGATGGTGATGATATTTAAACATTTGCCCGATAAAAAAACAAATGATTAAAAATTATATTAATAAATGTCCATGGTGAAATGAGTAAGAGTAAGTAAGGTAGGAGAGTGAATGAATGATTCGGTTTCTGATACTATTTGAAAAAGAATCGATATGTTATGGTAATGTCGGTTTTTACACATTTAAAATGAGATTGAAATGAAAGATTGACACTGTTTATTTATGGAAATTAGCAAATGTTAGAAAATTGATTTTTGACCTTTCATTTCAATAATCTTTGTGTTGTAATCTCACATTTGGTCGATGCACAATTACTGGATAGTTTATCATCAAATTTTTATCCCTCAGTTTCAGTTGTCGAACAGTTTCCAATTATTCTTTTACCAGAAGGTAGCTGAAATTGAATGAAGGAAAAGTTATATGGTAAGGTCGAATAAAAGTTCTCTTTTAATTGTTTTCCGTTAATTGGAAAGCATTCTTCCAGAATGCTACCTTGATTTTTTTCTACTAATAGATCGATGATGTACAGACCAAGATATTACGGGCAAAATGTGACTTCGGTTCCTCACGTGCAATTATAATAACATTTACTGGGCGGAGTACTTTTGCTAACTGGAGATAGATTGGAAATATTGACAAATAACCTTAATTTTAATTACCCGGCACTAACCCCTTGTACTTCCGAACAATCAATAGACATTCATCGGGATGGTATGACATAAACGATAATAGCATCTTATAACCTTTATAGAAATTATTGTTAAATAACTGTCAAAGAAAATTCGTTATTTTTTCATATTTCGAGTGCAGTCAGAATATCCAGATGAATATGGCATCTGGCCCTAAATATCACAACATGTGATCGGTGGATTAAGTCGCATATCAAAGAACGGTTAGTCTTAAATTGAAGGAGCTTCGGAAGAAAAAGGAAAGCTGAAGATGCATTGTGATTTCTCCTGGTCGACTTTTTAACAAATCAACGCTTGTTTGCTCCCTAATAATTTCAACAATAGAATGATTATTAGTGTTACCAAACTTGCAATCACATATCGGTGACATTGAGGACATTTATTCATGTAAGCGTGATGTGGTTATCATTTCATTATTAAAATGCAGTACTCCTCTCAACAGTTATAAACATATATCAAATTGAAATCTGCACTGAAATATAAATTTTAATTTACGTAAATTAAAGAAATGTAAATTTCAGCATAATTAGATGAATAGTTGTGAGAGTAAATATGATGGTTTAGAATATGCACTCGTATCACTCTCCGATGACAATGACGCTGGCTGACATATGTCCTTCGGTAAATACCACGAATTATTTAGAATTTTCAACAAGTGACATGTACCCCACACATTTATGCAGAAATGCATTCATCATCAACGTCCACTCACCTGAGGACTTCTATCAATGTCAATGTAATATTCACTCTTTTGCATAACATGCAGAATAAGTCAGAAGCGCCTTAATAGATGGATTCGAAATTAATTAACTAACTGAAAAGCTTAATTCGTTTGGAATGATCTAATATAACTAATTGAAGCTATTCCGAATGTCCCTTAGAAGACAAAATGCCATATTAGCTTCGTAGCGAAAATAATTGGGCTTGTTAAATTTCATTTTTTGGAAGTTCTAAATTTTTGGTTGAGACAAATCGAAAGAAGAATCGGCACTAATTGATAACAAAAAATGAAATCGAAATAGAATAGCGAAATTAGAGTGTGTCATTAACGCAAACTTTCGACGGTAATTGCGCAAATGAATTGTGCTCATTAATAGATCGAAATAAAGAAGAGATCAGTTAGTGGAAGCATCTATTTGACCAAAATATTTGCAAGCATTGTCTGACAGGAATTTCACGAAAATAAAAGAGCTTTTTTACAACGATAAGCATAATAGATTGAAAAGAGATTTATTGATTATCGATTGATCCGATGGTGTGAAAAGATTGAAGTTGTAAAGTGGGAGGATGGGTAGGTAGATTGGATCAGCTACTATTAACTATTTGATGGAAATTTGCAAAGAATTTTTAATCCTATCCATTCACATGATTGATGGTTGTTTTTGCATAAATAGCTGAAAGATGCCAAGATTTTAAAATGCTCATTGTCTCAATTTGTGGAATGAAACTTGCGAGGAATATCATTTTAGAATTACGTGAATGCAAATTGCAGGTTGGAGGTAGTCGTATGGAGCAGAAATGAGTAGATTAGAGCGAGTAGACAAGAAGGACACATATGCAAGCGCACTTGATCTCATCGGGAAACAAATTTGGCGTTTTAAAAACTTATATTTTGTATAAAACCTGAGTAGAATAAAATAAGAAACAAAAAGGAATAAAGAATCATTCTTTGAAGCACACGTACGTGTAGAAATTATGTTAAACCATAAATACGAATGTCATTGAAGCCTTGCGTAAATTAAATTAGTAATAAATCCCATAATCCATTCACGGAAGACTGCTCGAAGCAAATTTACAACATTTACAAATTTACAATATATATATGTAAGACTTAGCATTTGCTTTGTTTTTCCACGTTAATTTTGATAGTTATCATCCTATGTATGAATTCAATGCCTTTTTACATGAGTTTAATTGGTCCTAATAAGCTAATGCTGAATGGAAATGTCAAATTCCCATTGTCTTTTCAAAATGTCCAAATTTCGCACCATTGTGGAAGGGAAGGTACAAAAATAAAGATTACTCAATTGAAAGAAAATTTAGGTAATAGCAAATTCCATAAAGGTTTAAACCAAAAAATTGCGATTTGATTTTACTTACAAATAGCAAAAATCAGACTACCTGAATAGGCAATGATGACCCTCATTAACAATGATGACCTTTGCAAGCATGCACTACATAGCTAATATATCACCGAGAAAATGAGAATAAAAGTGAAAGAAAAAAACAAATAAATTGTATTTGTTCTAATGATCAAAAGGAATTATTCTAAACATAAAGATATTTTGGGAAAGATATTTTTTTCGAGAAAGCGAAAATAAATGAAGTGTCTTTTAATTATAGCGCTTATTTCAACTACGATGACGATGAGAGTTTACATGAAATTAAAAAAGGGAAGAAAATCAACTTAAGCTAACTAACTATTACACAATTCTGATAGCGAGCGGTAAGGAGAAATAAACATCTGGCAAAATTAATTATAACTTCAACTAACTGAAGCGCAATAGATAAATTATTTAGAAATTTATCTTCGTTTATGGTACTCTCGCTGATTTATTTCTTCTACACATCAATTCTTCATTCGCCGTTCCAAAATTCAATTTGATAAATGTTTCCAATGGTAAGTTCTTTTCTTTTGTTTATATGATAGTGAGTGTATATTTGCATACTGAAGTTTGCTTATGAACGACTGACTATATGTCTGAATGTGGTGTGTGTGTGTGTGTGTGTGTGTGTGTGTGTGTGTATACGGACTTGTTGAAAATAGAAAAAGGAACGAAACAAAGAGTATTACATCCTATTTATTTCAATTTACTACATTACACTATGCTTAATTCTCCTTTCGCAGTGAGAGTGAGTTTGCTTTTTGCTTTTTTTGCGAAACTGCTATAATGATTCATATTTGTTTATTTTCATTCAGATCAATATATCGAAGAACCGATTAACTGATCCTATCCTATCCAATTATCGAAGAGAACCCGAACAATGAGGCTAAAAAATTCCTATCTGAAATATCTGGGTTTCGTGAAACAATTATTGAAGGAATATTTGTACAGCCACTGAAGAAATAAGTGACGGAGGAATAATACTTTGTTGAAATTTTCAATAGCTCTGCTATAAATTGGCCAATTTTTAATGGAATTCGCAACAAATCCCTTTTACTATCGTATTGATGGTAGGCTATTATCATGATCCTCCTATTGACAGCATTATCAGATTTAAAGACGTGAAAGACTAAAACAACTGCCCAATTTATAGACACCCTTAAATTAGAACTTAGTCTCAGGCTTCCAAGCAATGATTGACACTAACTATCCTTTCAACAATTGTCATCACTTATTCATGTGGGATTTGTTAATGAGAAATGCCAATAACAGTAAAATTCAGCAAAGTTGTGCCTTGATTTATTGTTTCTATCTAATAAAAGACAATTAAGGATGATAACTCATTACTGTATCTTCAAAATCCGCGACAGAGTACCAATGGTTTTTTAATATATATTTGAGGCAAAATAAAAAGCTAAAATAACAAACTCAGCTAAACTTGTAATTCTGAAAGGAGCAGATATAAACTGTGTAAAAATAAGTTATAAAAGTGAAGCAAGAAATGAATTCTGAAGAGCCATTTATTTTTAGAGAGATTTTTGATAGGATGTGATTTAAATGCAAAATTAAATTTCGATAAATTTGGTTAAATAAAAAATGGTATCATAATGAAAAAAAGAGAAGACTGCTGTGTTAATTTTCAGGGAAAAATCTAGATTCAATAGCAGTTTTCAATTAGCTTATATGTGACATTGAGACAGTAAGTAGCGGCTGAATGAATCAAATAATGAATCAGGTTGGAATCCTCCTGCTCACATTACAACTCAACCAGATTGAAAGATGTAATTCTGATATATAGGAGCTTGACTGATCATAAGATTATTTCGAGTTTTCGATAGATGTAGGCACTGATATTGCAAGGAAATGTTTTAGAAATATGAATAGCGCTACTTGGCTCTTTATTGGCAGACAAATTAGTAGTCATCATTCTATCATTTCTTATCATTGTGATCAGAAATCGATGCCGCATTGTCGTGTAATATTCATCGTTTGATATCTTTGATAAAGAACAGTTGAGGGAGCGAAGTGATGCAAAAATGAAAAGACAATATAAAGCAGACCAATACCAAGAAGGTCACCAATGGAAGTCAATATCGGTACCGAATTGTTGTCTGGATCCAATCCGAACCACCATAACCCGTAAACCGCCACTTGACACAAATAAAACAATATTAAACCCTAAAAATTTCAAAAATAAATTCTATCACACAATTTATTCAATCAAATCATTTTCTAATGATTATCTTAGAAGTTGGAGCGAAAACAAAATCAATTATCTTTACTTTCGAATAGATATCTCTATTTCCATCAATTAATCTGCTACAAGTGATTCATTAATCTATTAACTGAATAGGTCATGCAAAGTTGTTACTTGCACAAAGGCGGCTACAACATATGTTCCAACAAAAATCCAACTGAAATCAGCATTTTTGGCTGTGAAAATAACTATTACGACGAACAAAAAATTGTATGGAATTGCCGTTACTAATAGCAAAAATGCTACTTTGGAATCCAAATCTGAAAATGATAGGATGATCGATAGTCGTTCTATTATTGTTGTTAACGAAAGACAGTTGAAGTTTTTGCATTGTCGAACTTTTCTGCTTTATATTAAAATACATTCTGCATAGGTAGTTTTCTCCTCTTTATGTTACTTTTTTTTGTTACTTTCTCCTGGTATTTCTTTTTATTTATTTCATACTTATTTTAGATTAAAGAATGATTGATCATAAAATTTTTATATGAATTCAACTGACATTTCAGAAACTCTAAACATTTAAATCTTCGAAGCGATAACAAATAGCTGCAAGTCTTGCAGTTTCACGAAGGAGGCGAAAAGCTTGCAGATGACGAGCATAGTGGCTGATCATCAAATCTTAGCAATGACTAATTAGAGAAACAGTCGACGATATCTTCTGACAAATACGCAAGAAGTTGTTGAACAAATAAATTAATGCCTGTCCTGTTACTATCGTTTGTCATTTCAAGCAAATCGATATGATGAGAAAGTTCGGTAAATGGAAGCTCTTATTCCGGCGATATCTATCACTCATTACACATGAAAGGAGTGTTTAGACGAATTGAATTACCGAATGATTTAGCCGGGATTGATCACTAGAAAAGACTCGATTCTCTCTTGCGAAAAACACCCTACTAAACATTTCAAATCATCAAATTTTGAAATGTTGGTTAGACACTTCAAAAAATGGACGGCTTAGATTACTAACTTTCGTCTCATTTCTCTAATTTCCCTTCATAGACGTTGAAATATCTTCCGATTTGTTGAAATTGATCAGTAGCGATGTGTTGAACGCATCGCTACTGATCAAGTCTAATTACAATAATTTCAAATTCTGTTTTAAATTACTTTTGTACCAACCTAATTAGTCCTGTTAACAGTTATTGTAGGGCAAAAAAAGGTATATATTTTAAAATAAAGTAGCGTCATTGAAGAAACTGTTTTATAAGCATTAGGTAACCACTCAGATATTTTCATTAACAATTAAAAATTTTCAAGGAGATACTTCCTTTCTGTTTTTCTCCTTTTTTCCGTTCAATGGAAGACACTATACCCGCGATTTTCAAATATAATCTTGAAATTTGCAGAGAAGAAGCTACCGTGAGCATGGAACTTCCTCTCCTACTGATCTCTTTGTTATTTATCGAAATTTCGTATTATTTCTCAAATTACGATAGATGGAAAAGTAAAAGCTTACGACGTAAACAGAAGAAACGCAGTGGATTCAAGAAAGTCCATATAGTTGTACCAGTGGGAAGTCTGCCGAGGGAATATTTTGAGAGATGCAGTGCTGTTGCAAGACGACTTGACTGTACACTTACTCGATTACCAGCGAGTCCTATAAATTGATCAAATTTTAGATAGCCAAGTACACTAATAGGAAGCAGAGAGAATAAAAAGTTGGTAAGATAGTTTAGTTTCTAGATAAACAAGAAGAATCAAAAATTCGCGTGTCATAAAGTTGATCTTATTATGAGATGATTGACCTTTTCCTCTCTGACCATTTTTAGCTGAGATCTGTGAATAAAAATTTATAAACAATAAAGGGGAAGAAAACGACTTGTATGATTCTGGAAGGATTCAGAAATGTACCTGCGATGAGTGGATGAAGCGCAGCAATACCAGGAAAAACAACAATAGCTGATTGAAGCAGTAAGCCACTGCAGCTGAAATCTGAAACAGTATGAACTATCGGTACCTTCAAAACTGGCGGAATCTTTAAAAGATGAAACTTCGATGAACTCAAGCTAATCTAAAAATTCGCCTTACTTTAAATAGGTGCGTTTAAAGCAAAACAAATTTTTAGCAAGAGAACACAAATTTGTAAAGCGTGAGAATAGTTGCTGGTGACAAAATTTCCGATCTGTCTTTCACCACCTTTAGGGCATTTTTTAGAGGAAATAATCATCATATATGTATTATTGTCACCAACACTGACCATCCGATAACGACGGCTGCTGTGATGGCAAACAAACCGTCTCTCAAAATAGGCCTGGCATATGGTTCTTTTGCAGCGTAGTAAGTGAGAAATGGTGTTGTACAGAGTAAAAATATCACCGCTGCAATGCTGAGGATATATAATTTGTGTATGTACTTGTAAACCATTAACATGCCTATGCCAATCTGAAAGGTCTCATAGAGTTACTCTGATAATGACCTAATAGGGATATGAGTTATTCTATTTAAATGTTGCAGTGGCTAGTTTCTTGTAACTACTTTATAAAGCATTGAGGCAGTTCTAAGATAGTTCAATAGTCTGCTGGAAACGAAACGATCATAGTAGACGAAGTTCATTAAATTTTTTTTCCTACAGTAAGCGGGACCATTTGTCGTTATTCATTAAAGGATGTATTATTTGACTTCAGAAATTCTGACGTTTAAAAGTAATTTCAAAAAAAACTTGCTCGAATCTTAAAATCATAAAATCTACAAGGCTTTTCAATTAAATTCAATTGAAACTAAATTGAAAAGATCAATTAGTTGTTGTTGTTGCACAAGAAGAAGTTCAGAAGAAAATTTACCAGCATGATTAATGTGATGAAGTCGCTGAAGGTTGCCGTAAGTGGCGCAGCGATGTTGTCGGGATCAACACCATATCGACGAGAGGAAACAACGATAGCTATCATCACGAAACCAACAATAAAAGAGGACAGTGACGCCGCGTAAATACCGCTTGAAAGTACCACGGTTGCGTGAGATCGGTTGAACTACAAAACTGAATTAGTGAAACCATCCATGAGACCAACAATTCAACACGGACCGCGTTTTTAAATTGATAATAGATATGTAAGGTGTCAAATTGTGTTTTCTATTGATCTTTTTAGTGCAGAGTAATTTCGAAGAAAAATTTTAAATATACCAGCTAGCTGACTCAAATAATTTATCTCTGGGATTTTATGCAGATTTATTCTGAATCTTATTCTTCAGTTTTATGCTACTGCTAAATAATTACAGCGATCTAGGATAACACAAACAAATTCACATAGATGACTAACGAACATCGCAATTAATTAAACTAATTGCACTACTCAATAAAGCCGCAAAAAATGATAAAACGATTGCTTGCAATTCGATAAGGCATAAATTAAATCGAGCAATAAAAAAAATTTCGCTTGCTTTATCCGTTTGACCTGCGTTGCTCTAAAATTACATTAATTTTATTTTTCTGGTATAAGAGAACATATTGAGAAAATAATTCATTTTCAGTTATATTCTTACCTATCTTTGTCATCACAAAAGAGCTTATTTTATCAATGAATCTTAATGCTATCATCCCAGATATCTGTACTTATTTGTAAATTTGCTAGGTCTATATTAAAAAAATGCAACAAACCAGGGTACAGAATCGCGATGCATATGTTACTTCAAGGTTGCCTTTCAAGCCAAGCAAAGCTGGTACCAGAATAAAAGTTTCGGGTACGTATAAGAAAAACCACCAATGTTGTGCACGTTCAAAAAACAGCCCAGTGCAAATTTGTCCCAGTCCAGCAACAAAAAATGGTAATAATGTCTGGAAATTTCCTTCTTTACAATTTTCAAACGTTCCCAAAATCCAACTAAAGTATTTTTATATTTATCGCCTTTTTTATCAAACTACTGGATTCCGGCTTTCGATGTTTGTCTTCGTAATCTTCGTAATTACCGTAGATGCATCACTCTCTATGAAAAGATAGAAATAGGATGACATACTTGTCTTAAAACATTGATCAATACCGTCCTCTCTCTTTCTCCGCCTAAATGTTGAAATTAAACAAAGCAAGGATATTTTCAAAAGTGAAGCTTTTTAAATGCTTGATTTTTACTTTACAGATACTATCATTATTAAAAGCGCGCATAATCCCATCTGACCTATTTTCATGCTATCGATGTCCCACATTGGACAATGAGTTGTTTCTTGCAAAATATTTCCGGAAAAGCAAATTTTTGAAACCTCGAGTGATTTCTTGTGGAGAATCTGATGTAGAAAGTTTTGATTCAGAAACAAATGATTCTGACTGCTGTATTTCTGCCATCGGAATTTGCTCTTCTTTCACTGAAATTTTAAACGACATGACAAAATGTTGATAGATATTTTCACTGGCCTTACATACCTTCCATAACTGCGTAATACATTAATTGCAAGTAGCTCTGAAACGAAAAACCATTACAAAGAATCATAATAAGCGTACATCATAAATCAACCGGTCAACCGATCTGATAAGTCGAAAAATGAATTAGTTGCCTCATAGCATCCGCTTTTTAAGATGAACCTTTGTGACATTTACATAGACTACCACTTTAAAAGGTTTCTATGTGACATTGACTGGAATCTTTCAAAAAATGGCATATTAACTCAAACTGATTGCAGAAGAATATTGCAATTTTCTGAAAATATCTCTTTTAAATCATTTTCTAAATGTTCAGTATTTTATATCTTTTCATATTTCTTGCCAACTTCATGGCTCGATTTTCAATTAGTAAGCTCAATAGCATTTATCTCAAAGTGACGAAAAATTATAATTGTTGAAATCCATTAATGTCATTTCTCAATCGGAATATATCTAATATAAAATAAAAAGCTGTGAAGTTGTTACTTTATCAAAAAAACTTAAAATAGTCTTTTACTCACCAATGATTTCAAAAAAAATAATTCCAAATATTTACGATCTGTGATGCTGGTTTATCGCTTTTTATACCATAACCAATTGCTGGTAACAATATTACATTTTGAAAAAAAAAAGTTTAAAATTTGCGACCAAAAGAAATCCTTACACTACTTTTTTGATTGTTTAGGCTTTTTCAAATCTTTCGAGTTCCTTTTAAGTTCTTTTATACTTATATAAGTCAGAATGATTTAAACAAAATGACAAATATCAGCAACATTTTCACCAAATAGTTCCTAATGAAATATCTCAGCAACATTTTCACCAAATAGTTCCTAATGAAATATCTCAGCAACATTTTCACCAAATAGTTCCTAATGAAATATCTCAGCAACATTTTCACCAAATAGTTCCTAATGATTATTTGTTACTTCTTCATCACAAATTCACTCTCATTTTTCATATTTTATTCATACTTGCTGAAATAATGCAAAAATTTGTACTGCGAATCTTCCGTACAGAAGAATCCATATTTGCATGCAAATCATCCTTGGCATGTTTTGTTGCACGTTTCTTACTTTTCTCCTCACATGTTCATCTATTAATGAAAAGAGGAAAGAAGAAAAATAAAAGTCTAACGGCTTCAATAAAGTTGTAAAATTATTTCTTACCGAAATGCAATTTTTCCTATTCGAATTAGATCGACATTTAGTCACTAATGCTTTAACACTGCTTCTCAGTAATAATTTTCTTCATTTGCCTTTTCTATATACTACTACCATATTTCCCATGATATTTGTAAATATTGCTATCCCTCGCCCTTTTCATAATCACCTCTAAGTATTTGACAGTACAAAACTTAGTCTAATTTTATTACAAAAAAATTATTGACTGCAGTAAACTGGAAATGCTCACCTACTAGAACTTTTTTGAAACTGATTTCTTGACATCAGTATGCACCGTAGTAACATTGCAACATTCAACATACAAATTTTTGAAAATCAAGAAGAACGGTAACAGTAATACTTGCTTAAACAGAAAGATTAGGTAAATTTCAACTTGCAAAAAGAATTGATTTGAACATCAAGAATTAATTGAAGCATGATGTCGACGGTTGTAGCGACGAGGAAGAGATTGCTTTTTAATGTAGAGAAAAGATTTTATCAGAAAATATGTAATACTTATTCGTCCTCCTTTTTTTCTCTCAACACATCTTCCGTAAGGTTAGGATGTTTAGAACGCCTGAAAATTAAAAAAGAAAATGAATTTCGATACTACCTAAAAGATTAACTATTACTGTTATGCCGTTGTTTTCCGTTAACAATTGCTCGTGGATCAGTAACAGATTGTTTAGGCATGAAAAGTATTGTGAAACGGTTCGCTGTTTGTAATGATCGATTCATTTTGTATCTTATTAATATGCTTTCAAATTTCAACCATTCTGTCGTAAATTTTTTTAGAAGTTTCTTTTTCGTTTTCTTCAAAAAAATTTCAGTCAACTCTATTCTGCTAAAAGTCCTATCTAAAAATAATCTAAATAATCAATTCTTGATTATTTCAGAAAAGATATTTCTGAACAATTTTTAGCACCGACTTTGATATCTTTGCTCTTGTCATTTCAAATTTCGTCCTTCTGCAGGTAGGTATTTCGAATAATGCTAAATATCATGAAAAGAACGAAGAAATAACAATTCTACAATAGCCAATCATGGTCACATCCAAAATGTGATGCAAAAGATATTGAGATTATGAAGAAGCAATTTATCGAAATTATAGGAATGATAAAACGATACTGTTATTGATAAGAATGGTGATAAGACCTTCTAGCAAAGGTTATATTTTCATATGCATTTATTCTTCTCGAGAAGCTAAATGTGATGCGAAAGATATTAGGATTATGAAGAAGCAATTTACCGAAATTATGTAGGAACAGCTCTACCACAAATTTTATTTCTTTTTATATACCTAAGAGCTTGTTATTTAAATAGGTAAAAATAATACATTATAATTATGAAATATTGTTCAAATCAAAAGCCTTACGAAAAATAAGATGAACGCGAAGTGTTCTTAAATATCTTTGCATTCCTAATTGAATTTTGGCTTTTAATTTGTAAAACAGAAAATTAGGCAAACGGATAAAACAATAGCAAAAGAAATGCGCAATCCTCGTATAATTAATACCTGCGAAAATGCGCATTGCATTCACAAAATTAGTTGCAAATTTCGTCCATAGTAAGAGTTTGACGTTTTCCGAATGATAAAATTCTAACCGATGCTATAAAAACCATTTTTTGTTTAACATTAAGTAATATCATCATTCACTTACTTAACTTATTACCATTAATATTCCCGTTTGATTACTCATATTCAGTAAGTAGTTAGCATAATACAGCCTAGATTCCACAATTCTTTTCCAACTTCTAACTTTCTTAGCTTGCTGATAAGAAGTGCCTCCTCCTACTACAATTTTTCACTTCCATTCAAAATATTAGAGTATTCAACAAACGTAAATATCACATAGCACTGAGAAAATGCAATTAAAGTTGAATAATTTAGTAATTCAAATTATGCATCTACTGGAGATTTAATATATCTGAGGAATGAATTATTACTAGTGCATTAATTTCTTAGCATTCCACGTCAGGCTTCTCATTCCCTCTCTACTTGATCTATGTGTAATTTAAGTTCTTCTCTGAAGAGTCCTTTTGTGGCACACTTCCATTTCAATTACAACTTTCTTACCTAATTTATCCTGTGTTAAATTATATAAAAATTAGTGCCTCCAAAACCATTTCATTTGCTATGAATAATTTCAGAAATTTTCCGGGCAAAATACTGGAACACAATGCTTATATATTTCCGATGTCGATTGAAACTTCACATCATCAGGATAAAATAAAATAATATAATTTAACTTTCAAAAAATTTGAATACAAGAAATTAATAAAAAATATGCAAATTTCGAATTAAGAGAAATAAATATGAACAATCAATTATTATGACTTTTTGTACACGAAACAAATAACTTTTTCTTTTTGTGCTTCACAGTATTCGGTGGTACTGATAATATAAGTAAAGCCAGCATTCGAGCAAATAATATCCACCTCGTCTTCCTTCATACTTTCTCGAGCTGCTTTATGTACCGATCGCTTCGATATCACCGGATCAGTCTGATCGATATTCTAAACACCCTTCTTCATTTATTCTTTTTTCCACAAATTTGGCAGAAAATCTTTACTATGCTGCCAGAAATTTCAATAAAAATGACCTTTATAAGCAAATCTTTCAACACTACACTGTTACATTTATTTTCGGAAATTATAACGTCTCCATGAGGTCTTCGCTCCGTTACTGATATTGCTGTTGATGATAATGGCGCTACTGAAAGCATTCATTTTAATTATTAGAAAACAATATTGTATGCATAAGCATTATGTACGTAAAGCAATCATGAATAGATCACAACTGGGAAAGGACCTACCATGTTCGTTCCTGCTTCAAAGCCTGAAGTAGTGGAAGGAATATCTAAAGTTATTACCTTAATATTTCAGGTTTGTTGCTGTCCTGCCATACCATCCCAATACAAGTTTCAAAAGAATTTCTAAAATTTGAGTTTTAAAAGAATTTCTAAAATTTTCATACTTTGATTAGTGATATCCAGGTCCGTTGGATCGGCTGATTTCCCAGCTTCATTTCGAATAGAAGGCAATAATTGCTGGGTGCCCAAATCTGCCCTCTCTGATCCTTGCAAATGATTCGGATGTATGGATGGCGGTGAACCACCGCGTGAAACTGCTAGTCCAGCAATTTGCCTATCCTTCCGTACAATACCGCCCTGTTGTGGCCCTGAAATTGCTCAAATGAATTTAATTATGCAAATATACATAGATCCTATTTCCGTACTTCCGACTCAGCTTCATATTTGACCATAATTTATTCTTACTGTGTATTAAAACCTTTCGAGTCGGAAAATTTAATATTACAATGATAATATTAGTTGGAATAAATCGGAATGCTGCTGGAAAATGCTGTTGAGAATGAATTTAATCTGTTTATATGTGAAACTTTTGTTATGGAAACTTACCGAAGTATTTTCCTTTAGGAGAAGCATAGCTGCCTACACCAGTATTTGTAGCGCCACAACTACAACTGGATGAAGGCAAGTAAATAGGTTGAGGCGGAGGGCATAAAGCAGCAGGTGGTGATGGACAAGATGGTGGCCCGGAACATATTTCACAGATAGGGCATATTGGTGGTGGACAAAGAAGTGGTGGAGGACAAATCGGCTTAAAAGATGAAAAGTGTATTATTAAGGAACAAAAATAAAGTTGCGGAAAACGATTAAAAAAGTGGAAATATTGGAAAAAATTCGTGAATGAAATTTCTCAATTTACTTGATTAAGTGAATAATCAAAATGTTAAATTAATGTCAAAGATCGGATTTAACTTTTTGAGACTGAATTCATATTTCTGATAATTCCAAACTTTTTTCAGAAAATAACCGTTTTAAACAATAAAATACATACTATAACTAACCAGTGGTTGAGGTGGAGGGCACCCGCAAGTTAATGGCATTGGTATGCCACATTGACAGCAGCAGCTGCTAACACCGCCAAATAACATGGCATGTCCCAGGATTGAGAATTCCAAAAGTATCACAAGTACCAATAATCCCCGATTGCGCATTATTTTCTCTCCAAGCAATTTTTTTTGTTTTGCTTTCAGAGCTTGGTGGTCTTATAGCGCTTTTGGTTTCACCTAAATTTAGAGAAATGATTTTAGTTTTGTAAAGCTAATTAAGTTTTGAAAGTCATTAGACCACTAAATTTAGAAACAATAGCTCTCTTCTTTAGAACACGTGAGCATATATGCTGCTATGGCAAGGTATTTTGGAATTTCATAAGAATTCTGCAATGTGGAATAAGAAATGTCGACGAATTTCGAAGCTTTTTTTGTGAATTTATTAATGACTAGAAACTAGCAAACAACTTTAAGTTGCAAATCAACACTTTCAGCTGATTAAATGCTTAAACAAATAATTGAAGTGATTAAAATGTTCTTACTATTTAATCAATGTTTACTAATTACAGCATTTATAAATTACAGTTAGGTTTGATGATGGGCAATGTAAATTTGAACAACAGATGAATAGGTAAGTTAATATACATTAATGAAAATGAAACGTTCTTCCTTTAGTTGTGATTGATAATTGCGTGAATTTAGAAGAAGAATGTCAAAGTAGGGCAAAATGAGACGGAATTTAGAAGGGAAGGTGAAAATCATAATTTTTGTTATTACTCAATTAGTGGCACTAATGAAATCAGAAACAAATGTAGGATACAGCAGATGGGAACAGGGTAAATTGAGAGTGAAGATAACCTGGAAGAAGAAGAATTGGAAAGTGAAAGAACGGATGGGGAGAAAAATGTGAAATTTATGAGAATTTCAAAATTCATCTTCTTGCCCACCAGCGCTTCGGCTCTTCTTTGTAATCCTTATTCCCGTTATTTCCAAGATGATACTCACATCCATTAGTTTATCAATCACTTCATTTATGTCATCAGTGTCAAAGAATGAAACGTTCTTCCTTTAGTTGAACGCACGGATAAATATCTTCTTCCTCTCCTCTCTGGAGAGGAGAAAAGAAAACTGTCCAATGACCCAATTTTTTTGCCTCTTAAATTTCCATAAAAATATCAAGTGAGATTAGCATCTTCAGCAATGCAATCTGGCGGACAGCTAAATTGATCATTTTTTCACTTATTTTTTCATTTTAGATCGGTGAGAAATCTCCCGAGAAAACTCTCCTCTCGGTAATTTCGAAAGTTTCGTTCAAGTTAGCAGTTGGAGCATTCCTTGTTCGTTTAAATCTCGTAGCATAAAATAACACTCTCACAAAAGAAAAGATATATTCTGGAGATCCCTTTACTTTTTTGAATCCTTTACCGGTCATACTTTTGCTTTTGATCATAAATGCTTGAGAGATTCAAGTATACCTTCAGAGAGAACCTTTTTTTCTGATTTACAGCGACAAGAAGAATGTTTCCCTGATCCTCTATTATTTTCCGCAAGAATTTCAAATGAAAGATTTTAGAAGACCAGTAGGAAATCAGATCATATTTTTGTATCGATTGATTGTTAGATTAACAATATTGTGGACGAATGTCGGCCCGTACGCAGTACTGTCTTTAGAGGATCACTCTCAAGAATTTCACATACCGATAATAACTTCTGTAATTAATTGTGTAACTTCAGAGTTTTAAATTTTGGACAATGAAGAGTGAAACGAATTTTCCGGCAACAGGAAGGCCTAAGTTAAACAGTTGAAATGCTGTCGTAACTGAAAATCTAAAACAATACCATTCTATTTTAAAATAGGTCTTCCCATATTTAATTTCTTCATCAACCCCTGAGGTGAATACTTTCCCAATTTTTTTCAGCGTTTCATTTTTAAAGACAATTAGAATTGATCTTATTATTCCAAAGTCTGTGTTTGCCTTATATTTTCATTTTTTCAATTTCTTTTTCTTCCCATAATAATGTCTTTCTTCCACTCCTGATCATGTTAACAGATGAATGGAATTTCCCAAGAATCAGGCCATCAAATTTTTTGATTCGTTACAAAAATGTAATGCTAAACGAGATATGCAATTTGTGCAAAAATTGAAAGTTGTATATGCAATGATAATGATAATTTCAACTTGCTGTCTACAACACTCATTTCAATTTTGATTTGTTTTGATGTTCGTATAAATCCTATATTGTAAGATAACCTTTGTGAAAAATGTGTTGTTTGGTGTTTGCAACATACTTCTGACAGCAATCTTGACAAATGACGATTACAGTGACAGGTAGCTGATAAGCGGATAAGGGATGATCACATATAAGGTAATGATAAGGAAGTGATACATAAAGACGAGCTTATAAAAGATTAAAATGACGGCAATGCTCAGGCACTTGGTAGCAGTTATCTTAAGCTACAAAACTAAAGATGAATAAAACAATATTTCACACTTTCCGTGGTACCTTGCTGATATGATAAATACTTTTTGCATCAGCCTCAGCTTCCGCTGTTCCTTTGAGCAAACATCAAAAATCAATGTGACCAAAATTATTATTTTAAACATATATGTTCCCAAATGTAATCACACGCCAGGTGCCCTTTAGTACAGTTTCATTATGAAATTAACGAAAAAGTTAAACGAATTTGATCAGTAACTTATGACGATCGCATTTTAGCGATATTAGTTACCACATCATCACAATTTGATTCCCATCATCTTAAACGAAGTGTTTCAATAATAAACCTCTAAAAATATGAAAGGCAAATTCTAAGGAGTAACCCGTTGTACCAAAGCCAACAACCTAATAAAGGTAAACGTAATGTTAGCGTACCGCTAGTCATAGTTTGATATTTCACTATATTCAAGCAGAAGTTCAATGCTTTGTAAGCAGTTGCTTTTCCTGCCTAAAATAAAAGTAAACGATAAAGTTAAATGTGTTCGAGTATCTGTTTTCCAAAATACATTGAAACTCATATATATGCAAAACAGGATAAAACGACCCATCACCTTTATAGTAAAGAAAGATAAAGTCACAAGGGAAAAACAGTACTTTTTTAAATACGGTAGCTATCCAATAAAAACCAACTTTTCATTGATATTATTGCCAACAAAAAATAGTAATTATATCATTGATAAAATGAAAACAACTACTTTAGTTAGAAGAACGAAAATTGAACGGAATAAGGAAACAAATAGTTATTAAACGGATCCAGCTATATAACAAAAACGAATAGCTAGAAATAGAGGAAAGAACTGAATCAATGAGAATTCATTTCACTAAACTGTTCATCATGTCTTACAGATCGACATTTCCGTTATATTTTTTTGAAAATTACAATGGCGGAGCAGAACATTACTCACTCTATCCATTACATTAGCAAATTAGGAATTAGTTATTTTGCTTCTGCTTGTCTGTTTGCTTTGAAAAGTTACAAACTTTATCAGTACGTCTCCCCTATCAAATATTAATAACGGAAATGGATATCCATTATTTATTACAAGAACCAATGTTCAAGTTGTATATGTTAAAATACTTTTGAGGAGTTGGAAAATTTTGAAGTTAAAAAAAAGAATGTTTTATAATTAATTTACTTAATTCCAGAAACTTCAAACTTTGTATTTTAACTTTCCAGGAATTATTTTCCTTTAAGAAATTTTACACCTAATTTGCTCAAATAGAATAAACAATACAGGTAGGAATATAAGCAAAAAAGATGAATCATAGGATTTTTAATTAAACAGCAAATAACATTAAATGTTACACGTGTCAAATAACACTTCTTCTTTTCTACGATACTTCAAATTAGTGTTCGAAAACTACATCATCTTAGCTTCTCTTCAAATTATCACAAATTACATGAGATGATCTGTGATAATTTAAACGTGCTGGTCGGAAGTGGAATTTAATTAAATAATATTATCGTAAATTATGCTTCAGATCATGCTTCGTTTTCGAACACTGCCTTAAACAACAATTCACTTAATAATATCAATACTTACTACGAATATTTAAAAACTATTTTGAGTAATTAAAATTTGAAAAATATATATGTATATGAGGTATAAACAAAATGAGGATTTCATTCTCAATGAGGCTTTATGTTCTTGTAAAAATAGAAAAAAGAAATATAAGGAAAAGATTGACGAAAATTTTGATGAAAATAACAATTTCTGGGACAGACGAAGCATACGGAAAAATGTGATGCCGCTACGGAAAATGAGGAAAAAAGAGATTTATAGATTTACTTACTAACTTAGATAACCTCGGTCAACGTAAATTCTACTGAGGTAAGTTCAGGTATCTGAGTAAGTAAGTAAATAAGTAAGCAACTAAAAAAAACATGCAATAAAGAACATAGTTGCCTGCTTCCTATCGCCACTGATGAAAATGCGCACGATTTAAAATTAGTCTAAATTCCGGAAATTCAATACAGTGAAATTTTTGAGAAGAATTTTCAGTTCATAACTTCCTTTAACGCATGTTCCGTCGTTTCATTTTCCGCGACAAACACCATGAACCAGCTATTTAGCCACTAATTAACAAAGAAAAGACAAAACAGAACAGACATCCCAGTTGAAAGACAAGCCTACTTACAAAGCGTAAAACAATAAGACTGCAACGGTACTGGAGTGTTCAGGAATCTAATTTTCAAATGCTTATAAACTGACTGGAGATTGTGCAACAATTTAAATGGGAATGCCGAAAAAAAAGAAAAAGTGAAAGAAAAAAATCTATGAAAAGTATCGATAACGGTTATGTTCGGTTTCGTCTGATACCTTGCCGAGATTTTTAGCGTAATATCGGGATATACTCCCGCGAGGTTAGCAAAGGAATTTTCCAATTAATAAGCAAGTAAGCAACACTTATATTATGGAATTCTGAAAATACCGGTCTAAAATGTATACCGGGATTATAACCTGTAAACAGGAATAAGAAAGTGTAATCAAACTCTATATAACTTGTGCATTGCTAAAAAATTATAACAATCTGAGTTAAATTTGTATCGTTTAGTTGATTGAAATTTCAAATAATATATTGAATAAAATACGAATAAAAATAATAAAGAGGTAAAGGTCAGTTAGTTTCTAGCAATGCTCCAAGCTTAATTAAAATTAAAAAAGAAAGCCAAACTAAACTATCACAAAAATTGAAGCAAAGAAAGAGAGAAGAATGTAAACAAAGAAGGAGAAAATGAAACATAATACTGAAATATTTTTGTTTTTTTGTATCGATTAAATTTTACATACTACAAACATTAACAAATATGCTTGACATATGGCTTGTTTCCGCTTTGTTGCCGTTTTCTGGAACGATAGCTGCCGCTGCGGTTTCAGCAGGAATTTTCCATTCCAATTGCCGCATATTGTTCAAAAGTGTTTGGAACAACTGGTCGTTCTCCAAAAAAGCTGGAATTTGATTATTTGCTAATGTCTGACTTACGGCTGCTTGGGTCAGATGGGTCTGTTGTTGATGCTGCTGTTGTTGTTGCTGTTGTTGTTGTTGTTGCTGTTGCTGCTGTTGTTGTTGCTGCAATGTTCTAGATAGAGCATTCTGCGCCACAAGATTTGGAGTGATTCCCGTAACTGACATCGGATTAATGGGTACGGGGACAGCTATCAGTGGATTGGCAGCAACGATAGCATTTGTGTTAGTGTCAGACTGTGTACATGGTGGCGTGACGGAAAGTGCAGGAAGATCACTTTCCGCTACAGTACTGGTTGTTGTGGTGGTTGGAGTGGTCACTTGTGGCTGGAAAAGAAACTGCAAATGAGGTAGTGTGGAGGGTGAGGGCCGTTGCTGTGGTGACTGACCGAGTTTCAGTGAAGTTGCTGCTGCAGAACTAGCAAGATAATTGTTCAGAGTACCAGAAGTGCTGTTGAAGGAGCTAGTTTCCAAGATATTTTCTGTGGGTGGAGGTTGACCAGGCAGAAATGATACTGCTGGATGACGCATGTTTTGCTGAAGCTGTTTATCTAAAAATTAAGTGTTTATAACCAAATTTAAAAGAAAAATGCTCCTTCAAGCTTCAAAACCTAGGGCTTGACGGCACTCAATTTTAATTTTAGTGTAATGATGCATTTATAATATTGAAGAAAGCACGTAAAAACATTTATCACCTATACTTACGTTTAAACGTTTGAGTCTTTTTTCAGTATAAATACTCTTCGCTTCTATACCGCTATTATAAATGCTAGAAGACAATTTAAAAGGCACTTACAGAGAAGTGCGTTAAAATTGTGGAAATAAGGCAGCGGTCCGGATGCAGCTACTGCTGCGGCAGCATTTAATGTTGCTGTGATATTTTCCCGCGTTATATTCAGCAGTGTGTCTTTCCGCTGCCGTCGTCGTATTTTTATTTGGTCTGCCATCAACTTTTGTCTTTCGCTCACTACTTGACACTGAAGATTAAAGATTTCTTTCCTTGCGATATATTTTTTTAATTTCATGTCATACGATGTATTTATGGGAAAATGTCACATCATGCAATCTTGAAATGAACTGTAAAATAAATTAATTGATACTACCTTCGCACAATTACAATCACGATACGGACAAACGCGCTTGTGTCCTTTCAGTCGCGATTTCCTTCCATGTTGTCCGCATTTTTGACAATTTGGTATACGCTCTAAAAATAATAATTCAGATTTGAATTTCACTCAGTACAAATTTGTGTTTAGAATAACTACTGTATTTCTGAATGCTCTATAACAACTGCAATCTTTTAGCAAAATGTGGAAATTAATAAGAGAATCTCATTTATCTAACTATTCTTCAAATGTTTCAATTGAGATTTAATCACTCATTATTTAAGTATGTTTTATATCTCATTATTGTTTTATTCAACGGTTTTCAACTGTTTTTCATGGCAGGCAGTTTCATTATTTAAATGTTATCAATATTTCCGGATAATAATATTACTCAGTTCTCCTTCTCCTTTTTGGCATTTTAAATCCTTCAGCTAATCCTTTATTTCTGTTCTTTCCTATCTTCCTTCCTCTTTTCTGAGGAATTCTGGCTATAATTTCAGGAGAGTAACAATTGCTGAGTCATATCCATAGTTTCGGTTACAATGTTCAAATTTGAATTATATCACGCCAATGACATCTAATTATAAAAGAAGTATTGTGGAAAACGAACTGGAAATTGGAGCACTATCAAGTTGCTGAAGAATGTCTTTCCCACATCGGACAAGCGGCAACGGTGGGAAAGTTATTTGCTGTATTTGGCTCCCCGAACTATGGCTTAATTGTGCCAAATCAAATCCCATTATAATACTGGTGAAAGGAAGAATTAGTCAAATGACCACTAATCTGCCCAGCAAAGTAATCAGCATCTTATTGTATACATAGTCATAACCTCGTTTACAGTATCCTGCAAATTAATAAAGTCGAGGAAAAATGGTAGAATTGTATGGATGCTGCCTAGAAGAGAGAGACGTTGAAGAATATTGTTGTGAAGAAATAATGTGTTGAAATTTTTTCCACAGTGAAATGTGCGATGTATCAATTTGCAGGAAACATTCGCGTCCCTTTTATTGATCTCCTGGAACAAGCTATATTTAAACATCAAGCCGCATGGTCATTAACGTAAGGTAACGGCGGAGATGTTACAATATCTTTACAATCTTTTCTTCACTACGCTAAGCAACTGCATAGTGAGCAAAAATGACTGCTACTAGTGGCAGTTGGAGTTGCAGAATAGGAGCGAAATGATTCTTCCCTTGGATCAATGTATCTTTGTTGATGAAAAAATAAACAGCATAACAAGGTGGAGGGAAACTGGTGTTCGTTTCAAAATCTAGCAAACTAAATGATTGCTTCAACTTCGAGAGGCGAGAGACAATTTCAATTGATGATGACGATGATTAGAAATGAGAAAGAAAACAAAAGTGGCTAGGGAGGTTTTTTGGAGGACAAAAGAATGATGCAAAAAATGATTGCTCCGTGATCGAATTACACAAATTTACTGAACCGAAGAGGTAAGTGTTGAAAGTGATAGCAGTAATTGGCGGTAGTTGCGAAAATAAATTTATGACTTAAAAGGAGTTCACGAAAGACTGAAATTCATCGGAAAAGTCTCATGTCCTGTGTGTTGAGAGATAGGAAAGAGAAAAACCCAGAAGAAAATGGAAGCGGTTCAAGGAAAGGAAAAAGAATGACAAAATGAGTTATGAAAAAAGATCAAGTTTTTTTAATGTTACTGTTTCCAACATACACATACATACATGTCAAGAAGAAGCAACAGTAGTAGCAAATAGTTCTAGAAAAGTAGCAGTAGTGGCAACACTTTGCTATACAAATTTCGCTTTAACTAATAATGTAAGGAAGGGATGAAATATTCAACGCTAAGGCTGTTTAACATAAACAAGTCACAGCCCTGCCCCCGGCATGTTTTTTGTCTTCTCTTGTTTACTAAACACAGAACAAAAAACTGCTCGAATTTCCTTGCAAAGTCTCACACTACTAATGAGAGATGTGAAACACTTACGTGAACTAGAAATATAAACGAGCGTTATATTCAAGTCTTAAAAAGTAATTAATGTTTCATTGCAATCAAAAAGAGATTTCTTATTGCGCCTATAAAATGGCAAGAAAACAAAAGTAAAGTTACTCCCAAATAGTAGCTTTTTCCTGCTAACTTTTAGGTACACTGCACTTCATCCGTAAATGAAATATTTGCTTTATTTTATGAGGGAAATCTATTATATCGAGCAATTGAATATTAAACAGTTTATCAATTGAAGACAGCCCAACATCATACATGAACAGAAGTGATAACGGACTAGTAGAGGGAAGGATCAACTTTCGCAAGTTTGGAAGAAGTTCGAAATTTGCTGAAAAAAGCTTGAAATTTAAATAAATAAATTCAAAAGAGAATTACCTCTATGTAATACAGTTATTGGATATAAGAAATTAAGAAATGAAATGGAGTTGAAAAATGAAATTCAACAAAAATTAAGTCATCTTTTCTTCATACACAAAATGTTCTTTTTATAAATGGCACAGAAAATTTTGGTGTTCTTTTTATGAACGGCGCAGAAAAATTCAATTCGTTTCGGCGAACATTGCTGACAAACAGATCCACAGGTCCCAAAATATTGCAAGCCAGCTGACTACTGCTACTACTGTTATTAGTCGAAAAGTGCTAGTAAATCTGGCATTGCCAAACGTCTATTATAACTATTATTACTACACCAGCGCCACTGTATCTACCAAATGATGTTTTTCCCCGAAGTACTTTAAAAAGCAGTTCCCGATCAGTTGGATTGTAGTTTGCCTGTCGTATGAGATGGCTTGAATGCAAACATTTAACCAGATCAGATAGATGACGACGATGAAACTACCTGGCACTGAACGTCGTTGGATATAGCCGCCTGACTAATTGGCAGACGGATTCAATTTTTTTTCTCTTATTTACACAAACATTTTCGTCATTTATTCGTCCGAAAATATGAGAAAATACTTTTGCAAATGAACAGTGGTCGTTGAAGATAATGGAAAACACAATGATAGTTTTGAAAAAGTTTTTTTCTTCAGGTGAAGAACTCGACTATATGAGGAAATTTGTGGCGAATGTTTTGAACGGATCATTACCGCGGTATTTTAATGCAGCTAAGAAAATGCAAAGACAATCGCTAGGATAATACGAATATAAAAGTTTAGCAATGAGTTACCTTTCTTCTCTTGAATTTTAAAATAATTCCAAGTAATCTGAAGCCTTCATCAAAGGTCAAACGGTTCTAAAGCAAAAAAGTATTTGTAAAAAAGATAAGGAGCAACTATCAGGAAAGCACTGTGTCCTTACCGATCGATTCCAACAGATTTATCGTGATATCAATCCAATATATCCGTAACGGTAGTAAGAGGATTCACATGCAGAGATTGCTTTCAAAAAAAGAACTTCAAAAGCTTTGTAAGCGTGATGAAGAGAGATTCTGAAGGAATTCAAAAAGAAATGAAGTACGTGAAAAATCTGATTAAACAAATCATTATTCTAAATTTTGATTAAAAAATTACAAAGATTTCAAATTTTGATTCGAATAAATTAAACAAATGGAGATTGCGAAATCTGCTTTTTTCCGCAACGAAAATGAATTTTGCAATAATTAAAAACTTATTTGAATCAAAGTTTTTAATTTTTCTTTTGAATTAAAATTTAGGATTATTATTTACTTAATCAAATTTTTTTCTTATTGCGGAAAAAGGAACTTTTCAAATTTCAAGAGCGAAAAAAGTATTTCGAGTGTTTTCTCACCAAGAATAGGGTGTAAAGCAACTTCTGTTTTTCATCCTAACTACAACTGAAATATTTAGGATATTACGATCAGTTTAAAGGAAATTTCTAAAAAAAAAATCATAGAGCGAACTGAAATTAATCTGATAGTCCAGACGGCTAAACATCTTAAATATCTCAATTGCATTTGGAGATGAACTACTAACAGCTATGGAAAATTGCAAAAAGAAATGTTCTTTTTTGTAGTACACAGAAGCATCACTACGGCAGGAATTTAATTTCTGAGGACGAAAAGGAGATATTAACGGTTTTGGATAAAAAACTGAATCCTTAGAATTTGTATTAGTAATGATTTATCAGACATGTCGAAAGTTATTCAGTATTATTAACTAAAGTGCTATCAAATATCAATGACCAGCAGCATCTGCTCTCATACACAAAAACTATGAAATGATAATTACTGTTAATTTTTTCATCAACTTATCCTCTGTTATTCAGAGTAATAATAGCAGACGAGTATTGCAGTCATAGATAGTGACATTAGCGGTGATAAAATCAGTTGCAGAAACATTATAAACAGATGATTGTATCGCTGATACAATGTATTGATATTAAAAACAAAGTTTTTACAAATATATCAGCCATTTAGCAAGAGTGCAGTTGAATAATGAATTTAAACTTAAATCGAAACTACTATAATTCCAACTCCCCGACATTGTTTGATTTCAGACAATGAATTAATAACGTAAATTGAAATGAAAATTATACTAAATTTTATATTCAATGGATATTTTCATTTAAGGTAGTGCTAATATGAAATCTTCAACAAAATTGCAAAAATCAGAATACTAACATTATTTCATCAAATATTTTGATGTAATTTAATGTAAATATGATTGGGAAATTCAGCAATGGGAATTTAGCATTAAGCTTCCTTTATATTGCTTATATTTTAACTTTTATTGCAATTAAGCCAAGAATTAGCTTCATATTTTTACTTATATCGTAATTAAGTAAAGGATTAACTTTAAAATGTGAACTGAATTTTACGCTGTAACGAACTCGAGTTTTAATGATTACTCATATATCGGGACAGTAATTGATTGTACTGCAATACCCATTGAGGGAATTAATTTGTTGAAAGGAGGAAGAAACGCCATTTCGTCTAATTATTATTTTTGGTTTTGGATAATTTCAGTTGGAAAATTTTCAAGATAGGAACATAGAAATTAATCAACGAATTTACTTAAAAATATAAACTGAATTGCATTTTGTTCTCCTTAATTTTTTTTCAATATGGCAATTAACGACCGCTATCCTAAAAGAAAATTAGTTGGAAATGAAGAAAGAAATGTTTAAATGCTCCATTTTTTGCAATGAGTTCGTTCATTGCGAAAATATTACTGATATAAGAAGAAATTTCAACCTCCTTTCGATCTAGTAGCCAAACCACAATGATCATCGGCGCCAACTTCACTTTCTATATCCGCAACATCTTCTAGTTCATGCAACTGAGTATTAAGTACACGTCTTTTTTCAACCAGTATGCATTTGTTACAGGCGCAATTAGCATATACACATTCGCATTTGTGATTCTTGCGCGGTTCCAAACGATTGTGGTTCAGACAACGCTGACAATAATAGACTCGTTTGAAGCCTAAATAAAAGAGTGAAATAAGATAATATTCACAAAATAATATTGATAATACTAACATTCCAAAGTACTTCCTTATTAAAGAAACTGGATATTAATATCAGCAGAAACTCAGTCTCTTGTACAAAGATTGGTACTCTTTTATTTTCGGTTAGGTAAAAATTGTTTACTGAAGTCATTTATCACATGAAATAGGTTATAGGTTTGTGCCTTGTAACTAACTGACTTTACATAAAAGTGAAAGTTCAAAATTCACCAATTTTGTCGACAGCAGCGGCAGCAGCACTTAGCGCCGCAATCGCATTGATTGTCTCAAATCTAAAATATCGAGTTATAGAATTTTACTTTTGAGTCTAAAATAATGATCAAGGATTTTGAACATCGCGAAATGAAACGAAGTTTTATTAACAACTAATCAGTTTAATTGAAAATTAGTGGCTAATCCGATTTGAATGAGGTAGATTTATAACAAAATTATTATTGATTTTTCATTCCAAAAATGAATTATTTCTTTTTAGCAATAAAATTGGCGATTTCGAATATAAAAAGTTCATTTCAATCTAGTTTAAAAGAATGTCAATTTAGCCTGAATTTTAAAGAAAATTAAAAATTCAAATAACCTCATCATTATCACAAGCAATAACTGAGATCAATGTTACTAGCAAAAAAAAGCCAAATACTGTTTTCTGAGGTAAATAAACAAACTGAGGTTCAACGAATCGTAGTGATCTGCAAATTCGAAAACATGCGTAAATATATTATTATATAAATTGCTTACAAGTAATCGAAAAATAGGACGAGCAATATAAGAAATCAATAGTAACTTTTGTTATGCTATTCTTTAATTTGCATCTATTAAAAATAAAATTAAAGTGAAATAAAATTTTACCACAAATTTCTACTTTTCATTCATTTACAGACTGTTCTCTGACTTCGTCGTGTGTCCGTCAAAACAATTAAAGGAATTTGTTCGTTATGCAAAATATGCATATTTCATGCGGCTGCTTTACTTAATATTTAAAACACAGGAGCAAGAAGTATAACTATCGTCTATGCTTATTTTTGTTTATAAAGTAGTTAAGTTCAGAAAATGATTTTCTTGCTTAATATTTATTTAGAATTAAATCGTTGGCAGATGACAACGAGCAAATAAGTAGAGTGAAAAGGTGCGATACGATATTTCTTGCTATCATATCTTGCGCATGATATTCAGTAAATATGAATGAATGTTTTTTTATCGAGATACAGAGGAAGAGAGAAAGAGTAAAGAAAAAGAAGGAAATAGTGTGGGAGGAAAAACAGATAAAGAGCAATGCCAATCATTAATAATAATAAATAATAATAAAACGGTATGTTTTCTATCATAAACATTTTTACTTCTCGTGCAATTTTAAAATTTGAAAAATCTTCACAATGAACGTAGGATAAAATAACGTCGCATAAACAGCGATGAATTCATAAGTTGCGACGATACACTCTTCCATATTTAGTATGGATTGATTTTTCGGCTGTTCATAAAAACCTCCAATTCATTAGTGAAATATTAAGTCATTTACGGCCCGAATTCGCAAACGTTGTAGAAATTTGCAAAGTATCACTTTAAGAACAATTAAAACATAATTGAAAATGGAACTGTTTAAGTTTTATCCTTTAGAAATTTAGCGATCATATATCACATGGTCACCTGTACTTCAGTTGTAGCATTGTTACTACTTCTGTGACATCAATGACTGGTGATAGGGGAAACAGGGAAAAGAGAGCTTTAATATTTCATCGCTGCATTTACGATACTCTCTACATGCATAAAATTTTTCCAATCTCATGAAATTCTTCAGGCTAGAAGTTTGAAAACTCTATAATTTAAGTCTCTGCCTCACACAACAAATCTGACGAAAAATTTTCTTCACAAGAGGACGAAAAAGAAAGAGAAGATTAAAAGTGAATGAAGAAAAAGCATTGATAATATCATTTCGTATTATTCTTATTGGCAGATGCTTAGATCTTTTATGTTAAAGTTTTTAGAACCATCTCGCTAAAATACTAAAATTATTGTAATTTAAGATTTAAGTTCTCCTGATAGTATCATTATTATTTTGTTATTAGGCCCAAGTTGCTGCTGTAAATTGATTTTGCAGATAATTTCGTTCACATTGGGAAATATGATTCCGTTTGGTTTAATACATTGTGGAAGATGAATAAAACGATGTGAAGCTTGCGAAAAGGGGTATAGCTTCGAATCTGAGTAAAGTTTTCTACTGATAAAAATGATAGTTGACATTAATATAAGGTTGTGAGGCCTTCTGTTTCTTTTATTTAGCTTTTGAGAGAGTCTGCAGAAATTTCACGCAAATCCCCGTTTAAAAACTTGGGTATTTTCAAGATGCAATGAAATATAAGATATTAATTTCTTCATTTTGAACCACTCGAAATGTTTTCACAATTCGTAAATTGTATGCAAAAAGAATGGGAACATAGAAATGATTTCGGTCGTTTTGGGAAATGATATGGCAATATTGAATAATCGCAATACTTCTCCCATTAAGAAATTATATGTAAACAGAAAAGTTTTTCCAACTTCTTATTCATGCTTACTCGCTCGCTTCAAATAAAAAAACGAAAAGAAGCTTGAATCAATCTTGCTCTTCACTGCGTTTATTGATTTTCCACCCGCATCATGAATATTAAAATTCAAATTACGAATTGGAGGAATAATCCCTCATTCCTCCCCCAACTCCATAATTTCCTAAAACCATTATATAAATTCTTGTTTCGCCGGACGTCAGGCGCTGTAATTCAAAAATTACTTATAAGTTTATTTTTACGGTCAATTCGTCTTTAACCCATGTCGTGCCATCAAAACTTACTCAAAATAAGCACACAATAAACATATGCATGAAATAGAAATATTAACCGAAGTTACGACAATACCGCCCCGCCTTGACAAGGGGTACAGCAGACTTACATATGCAATAACATTATATTTATTGTGGTTTTAGATAACCGTACTTCCTGATAAATCTTAAAATAGGAGAGAAAAAGAAATGAAATTCAGACATGCAATGGATCCGCAATTTCTCCTTTTTTTCAAACGAACAATTGCGTAATACAGAAAGGAAGAAGGTCTTGCAGATGGAACAGGCAGGAGGAATAAACAACGAACGCTTTCCTTTCCTGTTTGAGCACGGGCGGTAAGAGCGCAGCGCCACCAATCAGAGCAATAAAGTATCTCCTTACCGACCGACCAAGCGACCGACAGTAGGTGAATGATGAAGAATAGCAACCTGGTGAGAAACAAATAACTCGGTGAGGACAAACTACCGTATCCGGAAGTGCATAACTTTTTTTGATAAACAACTTTCGAAATTGCATCGATAAGACAATAAGAATTAAAGCCGTGAAAACCATAAACAGAGAGAAGATAAAGAAAGAGAGAAAGGTTGATGAGATAATCAGAGATAGTCATTATATAGTAAGAGCAATGGTAGGGAATGATATTTAGCATTCGAGCAAATAAGTTTCAGCAAAGAAAATAGAAGGAAAAGATTTGAAGGTGGAAAAAATAAATATGCAAAAAAGTGATAAGGGATGTTTATTTTAACGTTGGTAGCAGAGAGAAAAAGAGAATAGTAAACAAGAGAAGGAAATGTTAGGGACAGTTTTAATGCTGGCAGATTAATGCGTCGAACGGAAAATATTGTTGGTTAGTTAGTTTCACGGAGCGTCATAATTTGATAGTGGGAAAGGGTAAGGCAAAAGTTGAATTTGCGTTTTTTTTCATCCATTCCAAAATGGATATTGAATTTGTGATAGGAGAGAGAGGCACAATAGGGACAGTGAAGTAAAGAGAAGTGAGAGAGATAGACAGATGTTTTCTTGCACTTCCACTCATATAATTAAATGTTTTGTTATTTACTGAAGAAATTTTGTTAAAAAGAAAATTCATTTCAATCATTCTTGCCCAACTCACAGTCACTGCCTTCGGCGGAAATGCTCGAAATAGCGGGGATTCGATAAAATTGAATCTTTCCGTTTCTAAATGCTCTTGACCGGCAGATACTGCAAGAAATAAATAATGGATCTCGCTTTCTAATATCCTTGAATTATATTACAATTCCGAAATCGACGTAGTACTTCCGGTGCTCTATCTGTACATATTTTCTTTGCCATAATGGCCTCCAACAATTTGTTAAAAACAGAATTCATCAGCGATGACTCGAAATTGATTCACACTTTTTCTATTACGCTCCTGTACAACAGAAGCGATATATATGTGATATCCATTTATGTACGTATCTGGGTTATGTTTTTACGTATGCATGTATTTTACACATGCGTATAGAACGTATCCTTATATGTATACCTATATATAAGATTTTGCATATATGCATTCATATAGGAGAAAATGATAAGTTGGTAAGTTAAAGTGTATCCAGATAGGCAGATTGGTGTATTGCAAACACTTATGTACGATGCCTATATGTTTGATGCATACGTAGCCAGCCAAAGGCATATATCGAATTTATCAGTAGAATGTAAAGGATTAGGAAAGAGTGGAAAAGGATAAGGTTTTATAAATGAAATTGAATTTCATGGAGAAGTTGAATTGAATATAGTTGCTTTAAAAGAGTGGCGGCATTGATAGCCTATCATCAAAATGGTATCTTGCACCCCACTGTAAAAAAAGAATGGCGGTAGGAACTTCTGTAATGTCAAACACTTAACCTGTGCAAACTAAAAATAAACTTCCGAAGTTTCTGTTCTTCGATCCCATGACTTTCATTGATTATAATTCCGTTCCATTGAATGGATAATTGCTTCATCCCGCTTCTTTATTCGATCGGTAAATTATTCGTGTATATTACTCTACCCGATATTTTACCGGGAACGGTTTCAAAAGGGTGTCACATAACGTGTTACTTCTTGTCTTTCCTCAACCGGTTCAATTATCAATTTACCGATGAAGAGGGTGAGTATAAATCGAAACGCTGCTGAAGTTGAAGTAAAAAAACAACAGAACGAAAAAAGGACTTGTTATAGCATAACACATTACTATTCATTGCAATTGAAAACCCATCTTGCTACATATTTTTGTGGCTTAGAAAATAACCATCGGACATAAAGAATGAAATGACCATCGGACAGTATACCTCATACATAACTCCACTCTATCACGATGGTAAATGCACTTTGGCATTTTGGTTTGCGAAATCTGTGAGTCGGTGCAACTGCACAAACATCGAAATTCCTTTTCTGTCCCATTTCTTTTTTACTTCATTGCAAGCGAAACACTTTTCTCATTTGTAATAATTTTTCACTTTCTCTTTGGTTGAGAATAAAAATGATCAGAGATAGAAAATGGAGAGAGAGAGAGAGAGAGAGAGAGAGGGAAAGAAATGTGACAAAGCAGAAAAAAGAAGAAAACTGTCAAATTTTCACGCTATAAATCACTCTTGGAGTGGTTTTAATGATAATGACATAGACAAATACGCTTTCAATAATTACGATATCGACTAATAGCGATGGATCATCTGATTTGTTAAATCAAAATGAATAATTTTCAAGTATAAACCATTTCAGAAATCAGAACATCATTTTTTCTCTTCTTTCTCATTGAAATACTTGCAATTAGACTTCACATTTTTGGTATTATATAGTGAAAGTATCTGGTAGCAGGTGGAGAATTTAAAAGATAATCTCTCTTAATACAGAGGTTGCAACCGTCGTGAAAATCTCAATGGTTTTATGGGAGACTTTTTCAGCTTCAAGATGGAATGGAAAGTTGCCCGAAAAATATTTCTAACTCAGACCGGAACAATCTTTTGAAGAAACAACAAAATCCAAAAATGGAAAGCAATTTTGTGATGCCACATTTTTATCATCACTGAATCCATAGGCTGCTTCCTAAAAGCTTTCAAAGTCTTTCCTTATCATTAAGATATCGATCTTCGGAGTGATAAGAAAATTTAAAGAATGATGATCCAGTTCATTTTACTTCATTCACTGTTTTTTATCATAAAATGCAACAGAAGGGATAAAAAACTTGAATAGGAGAAGGTTCCTCCAGTGGTCATGAAACTGGTACTGTAAGCATGAAGATTACATCGCAGCTGGCAGATGACATCTATCCTTCATTTCCTGCTAAGTATATATTACTTTTGACTAATGACATATTCTCAGCATTGACATTTTCGCTTTACCTCTCTCTAACTTTTACTTATGTTTCATAAGTAAAAGTAAAGCGGTGGCTGTAGAATTAATAATAAAGTTGCATGGCATACTGAAACAGAATGATTATATTAAAGAGTAACAGTTGGAGTAGGATCGGGGAAGTATTCCTTGGTGTTCACTTCGGGAAGATAGATACTCACACACTGCCATCAGCCCCAGCATCTCAATGGAAGAAAAGTGCAAATGTAACAAACAACATTTTGATGCGTTGGTTTGAGTGTACCCGAGCTGGCTGACATGCTGTTTGGAAAGTATTTCAATCTCAAGAAGCAACCACTGATCATTTCGGATGCCACACATACATACACTTTCACACACACATATATATATATATACGCACAGATACACATACATGTAAACATACACATACACATATGCCTACACATTTTGCTTTTTAAACGAAAAGAAGTATTGCCGTTCGCAAAAAACATTCGGTGGACTGGCGTTAGGGAGCTTTTATTCTGCTAGTAGTAACAAATTTCTATTACTGTGTTATATGTAAACACGAAAAAATGTATTCTTTCTTTCTTACTCTTTAAACTTCTTTTTGCAACAATTTTTATTATTAAAAAATACTTATCAATTTGAAAAATTTTGGGATTAGCTAAACTTTGCAATAATGCTGTGAGTTGACAAATAATGAGATAATGAATGAGTGGCAGCGATATGGAAAGTGCTGGCGAAATGTACTTCCAATAAAAAGTGAAAATTTTTATCAGATTTTTAATGTTCACTTAGCCAGTTATCAATATGAGAAGAGTTCCAGTGATAAGCGCATATCAACAACTAAATATGAAGTAAAACACAATGATTATGAGAACACTACGGGGAGGCAACTACGAATGAATAGAAGATAAAAATTTTGTAAATTATTGACAAATTAAACCATAGTGATTTGGCTCACTCTAAGGATCTTCAGGATTTCAAATCAACGTTTCTAAGTTATTAAAATTAAATTCATCTCAGTAAAATAACTCATGACGAAATTCAGACAAACAAACTCTCAATGATCTCATTCAGCTATGCATATATTTTCTTCAAATAGTTTAGCGAATCAGTTTTGATAATTACCGTCAATTAATGTTGTTTTAAAAGAGTAAAATAAGAAGGAATTTTTCCACTATTCTCATTTAAGAAATGGCGAAAAGGAATTTGAGCGCCATTCTCCGCTTTGAATATAATCAATCAATCACAAATAAATACGGTAACCCGAGAAACTTCCAACGTTTTATTATCAAATTCTGACCACGTGTTGATTCCCCCGCACTTCTCTTCACCTGCTTGCGGATCGGAATCTTGTTTAGAAAACTAGTGATAATCTGGTATGATAGATTGTTCGATATTCGGCTAATGTTATGTACAAGTTAATAATAGTTTAATTCATAGCCTATAACCCAAAAGTTTCGCTCTGGACAAGTGGAAATAGTAGAGACAAGCAAAGTGAGAAAAAAATTTTTTAAAAAGTAGGAAGAGAAATTATTACTATCAGTACTAGATATTATTTTAATATGACATCGTCCATCTTACCATCGCTTCATCTTCAAACTCTACACTATTTAAGAGTAAGCGCATATTGCACAATTATCGTCTTGTTTGCAGTTTTTTTCGATAATCAAATATTGATAGATTTCTATTTCTCAGTTGCGAAGTATATGAATCTTTGGTCTTTTATTTGGAAATTTTGCGAAAAATAGAAGCTGAGGATGGCTAGAATAGAGCAAGTCCAGCTTTCAAAAGAGTATTAGAAATGTTTACTGGGAAAAGTTTTTCGAACTAATAACAACAGCAATACTGATGATGCTACCGCTATTAATTCAGTAAACGGATCTGGCTGTTTTAACTATCAATGCATGCAAATCACTACATAATTTTATAATTTTTGCATGATATTAACTAAAATAACAAGCAAACTTTGAATATCACTGTATCATTAATCACATATATTGCAGTTTCAATTAAAAAAGATCGCTCAGTGATTCATCGCGTCTCTTCACAATAATATTTCCTAAATTGAAGGAAGGGCGTTGATTGTCTATATCGAAGTAAAATTCAATTAAAAATAGTCCAGTTCATTAGATAGCAGTAAAATTTTTACATGTGGAAATGAAAATAAATGTACTTTTTACTTAAGTTATTACTAT